CAGACCAGTGTAAAGCCAACAACACGATACTTAAACTATATCAGATCAACCAAGGATCGATACTTTAGGAAATCAACACACAGATCAGCGTAAAGCCCACAACACGATACTTTAACTATATCAGATCAACCAAGTATCGAAACTCTAGGAAATCAACACACAGACCAGCGTAAAGCCCTTAACACGATACTTTAACTATATCAGATCCAACAAGTATCGATACTTTAGAAAATCAACACATCCAAAATGTATCGATACTCAAGGACATCAACACAATTTACACCCGGCTAACACGATACTCGAACCAAATTAGATCCAAAACGTATCGATACTCTAGGAAATCAACACAATTTACAGCCGGCTAACACGATACTCGAACCAAATTAGATCCAATACGTATCGATACCCTAAGAAATCATCCCAACCACACTGTTACATGAGATCCAGTTGATAGATCTACCATCATGCAGCGGTTGATGTGAGTAAACCATGCGTTATCGCCCCTTTCAAGACAACAACTATTGCTTGATGTGCAATATGTTGTGCTAGATGCTATCATTGAAAATCAATACCTCATAAGGGTGCTATAGTAATAAAATATTCACATAGTATGTCCAATACGAGTTAGAATTGAAAAACAATTATAAACAGGGAATAAGTACTATGTTTTTGTCAGACAGACAAAACTATGCTGAAGTCATACAAACAGAACTTAGGTGAGGCATACACATAGAAGTATGGTGAAATCGTACAAACAATGCTATGTTTAGGTCATACAGTACGTTTGAGACTTAGGCTACAAACAGGGCTATATTAGGTCATGCAAACAGAAGCTGAAGTCATAATTTTATTTTCTAAAGTCATAAAAATAGAATTAAGCTGAAGTCATACAACAATAATTATGCTGACGTCATAAAGCTAGAACAATATTGAAATCACATAAAAAGAACAATGCTGACAACACTAAAAAAATGTTGAACACCGTTGGCCTTACACAAACGGAACACAGTTTGTGGTTATACAAACACTGAAGTCATAAGTCACCACAGTTAAAAAAAACCGCGCCGTATAACACCACGATGTACTCCATATAACATGCACTACACACAAGCCGGTGTGGGGAGGGTGAGGAATGACCGTGGGGACTAATGACAAGGGCGGGGGGGTTGTTGGTGAGTGGTAATAGATTATTAAACGCCAACAGGTGTAGAGAGAGTCGCGTGGGTAGCACGTGTTGCGGGCTATGCCAACCCAATCTTGGCGGCAAAAAATCAATGACATTAAAATATAATTAGTAAACATTATTCGGTAGGCTTATATAATGCATTTTTTGCGGGCATAGTTAGAAAATTACACACGGCGCATGTTAGCTTAATCTCGTGGGTCAGACCAGTGGAAGTAATGTGTCTTCAACACACAGGAGAGAAGAGCATAAGAAAATACTTAAGCACCTGTGACCCAAGTAGAATACAAATTAAATATATAGAGAAATTTTAAACAACCATTAGGATAATCATATATATATATATATATATATATATATATATATATATATATATATATATATATATATATATATATAGACAAATAATATCAGACAAAATATCCCAGGACAAATTACCTCAGTGCAAATGATTCACCCTACCACCCACTCCCCTTGACTGCTGGTGCTTTACGCTATGACAATTCTAGGTGGCAGATAAAGAAACATAAAGATATGTGCAAACACAACAATCAGATTAACACCAGCGAACTCTGGCAGCCAGCCTGAGCGAAACAAGAATTAGCATCGGACTTGCCAGAAAAAACATCTAAAGAACATCTGTGGAGACGTACTGAGGCAAACCTAATGGACTGACTAAAGAGCCACACAATGGCGGGGAACGTGTAGCTCACACAATTAACTACCACTACACAAATAAAGTGTTACAAAGTATACTGTTACTGGTCTACATAATGCATAAGGTAGGACCCAACATATTAGACAACCAACACTTGTATACTGTCAATGGACTACATAATGCATATAGGTAGGGCCCAACGTATTAGACGGCCAACACTTGTATACTGTCACTGGTCTACATAAATCATATAGGTAGGGCCCAACGTATTAGACGGCCAACACTTGTATACTGTTACTGGTCTACATAAATCATATAGGTAGGGCCCAACGTATTAGACGGCCAACACTTGTATACTGTCACTGGTCTACATAAATCATATAGGTAGGGCCCAACGTATTAGACGGCCAACACTTGTATACTGTTACTGGTCTACATAAATCATATAGGTAGGGCCCAACGTATTAGACGGCCAACACTTGTATACTGTCACTGGTCTACATAAATCATATAGGTAGGGCCCAACGTATTAGACGGCCAACACTTGTATACTGTTACTGGTCTACATAAATCATATAGGTAGGGCCCAACGTATTAGACGGCCAACACTTGTATACTGTCACTGGTCTACATAAATCATATAGGTAGGGCCCAACGTATTAGACGGCCAACACTTGTATACTGTTACTGGTCTACATAAATCATATAGGTAGGGCCCAACGTATTAGACGGCCAACACTTGTATACTGTCACTGGTCTACATAAATCATATAGGTAGGGCCCAACGTATTAGACGGCCAACACTTGTATACTGTCACTGGTCTACATAAATCATATAGGTAGGGCCCAACGTATTAGACGGCCAACACTTGTATACTGTCACTGGTCTTCATAAAGCATATAGGTAGGGCCCAACGTATTAGACGGCCAACACTTGTATACTGTCACTGGTCTTCATAAAGCATATAGGTAGGGCCCAACGTATTAGACGGCCAACACTTGTATACTGTCACTGGTCTACATAAATCATATAGGTAGGGCCCAACGTATTAGACGGCCAACACTTGTATACTGTCACTGGTCTTCATAAAGCATATAGGTAGGGCCCAACGTATTAGACGGCCAACACTTGTATACTGTCACTGGTCTACATAAATCATATAGGTAGGGCCCAACGTATTAGACGGCCAACACTTGTATACTGTCACTGGTCTACATAAATCATATAGGTAGGGCCCAACGTATTAGACGGCCAACACTTGTATACTGTCACTGGTCTTCATAAAGCATATAGGTAGGGCCCAACGTATTAGAGAGCCAACACAAAAAGCCCTTACACTTCAGGCTACTCAGAGGCTGGATCAGATAGGAATTAGCAGACCATGCATGTTAAAAGCGTGCTTATGTATTCCTCCGAAAGGGCGGTATTGAAACAAGTTTCAAAGGGAGGTATTGAAGTAAGTTATTACAGGTTCCGCTAACCGAACAGTGTCCTTAACTCGAACACTGAATGACAGGACTATAGGATTACTCAATACGCTAGCGCCTAGTCGGGGTACAGGGAGAAGACATTTTTAGAGAGTGGTGACATAACTCCTGGGTTACTTTCAAAATACAAGAGGGGTCACTTTAAACTGACTGGTAAAATATCACAGGGGTCACTTTAAACTGACTGGTAAAATATCACAGGGGTCACTTTAAACTGACTGGTAAAATATCACAGGGGTCACTTTAAATTGACTGGTAAAATACCACAAGGGTCACTTTAAACTGACTGGTAAAATATCACAGGGGTCACTTTAAATTGACTGGTAAAATACCACAAGGGTCACTTTAAATTGACTGGTAAAATACCACAAGGGTCACTTTAAACTGACCCCTGCAATCTTTTACCAGTCATTTCTGCTTGACAGGATCTGAGAAGACAAATATTGTTCTGTACCTTTGTTTAAAAGTATGTCATTGTAAAAAAGACTACACCTTTACTAACAATAATACTAATCCAGTCCCAACTCCCCTCATGCCATTAAGTATTAGTCAGTCATGACAGGAAGATCTGACATGTTTTAATTAATATCTGCTGTATAAAAGGTGGGCTGTACAAACTTGAAGCCTTAGACTTACATCCTGGTTGTAGCAGAGGTTTTATGTTTACACGTGTTTGTCAGTGGTAGTTCATCATCGCTTTAACCAGAACAACGCTCAGAAACTAAGAAATTTTGTCTGAAAAAATAACTGAGACAATCGACCCTCCCCCCCCCCCCCCCCCACCTGCCCCTGTTTAAGTCAACCTATAATTACGATTACTGTTGTGGGTCATGGAAACCTTGTAGGTACAGCTGTTCCACAAGTCTAATAACATCCTTAATACCTTACCCCTCCCTCACATTCTACACTCCAAACCTGCGTAAACAAAAGTGTTCTGTCTATATAGTGGAAGATGGGGTAGAGGGTTACCATATCCTGTTGATAACATTTCCTTGAGCTTCTACTTGGTGGTGTAGTTTGAGTAACGCCACAGGGGTCTGTGACACCCGTCATTAGTTGTGACACTCGTCATTAGTTGTGACACTCGTCATTAGTTGTGACGCATTAAAAAAAAACACTATAGGTTGTATTAAGCAGCCAGCTTTGATTACTCAGTTAAATGTGCATGTGAACAGTAGAGCATTTTAATCCAGTGGTACTCATAATACCCCGATTGATACTATGCAGTTTCTTTCAGGCATCTCTTCAGGGAGGGGGGGGGGTTCAAAACCAACCCTCCCCCTCCAGGAATAGAAAAAATATTTAATTTATATAGAAAATACATACTACTTTAATCAGTGTTCACCCCCCTTCCACACTTCATGAGAAAATTGTCTGAAAAAAAACACTGGAGGGGGGAGGACGAGCTTAGAGTTGTGACCACAACAAGGAAGTGAAATCCACAAGACAGTATTCTATTACTGCAGAAATACACTAGAGATGTACACTATGGGAGCAGTGCCCCCCCCCCCCCCACATGCCTGAAATACTGCAGCAAAAAATGGAACAACTAACAGACAATAGTGTGTCAAGAAACAACATTTAATAACACCAACTATTAACACAGCATGTTTGAACCACACATGCAGATTATACCAAAACAAACATTTTTTGTCAAATATTTTGGGTTACCTTCAGCATCATCCTCTGAAGAAATGTTATCGAAATCCAGGCCCAGTCTAGTTTGATCTTCAGAAGACATTCTACTTTATCTCAGAGTTAGATGTTGAATGTTTACACCCCACTAGCTGCCATAGCTCTGAACATTCACCATAGAAATACTCAAACCTGTAATTACAAAAAAAGGAATATTAGTAGAACTAATGTTTTATTACCACAGTCTTTAAACAATAGAGTTTAGCTTTTAATATATAAAAGATAAGAGAAAAAAGAAATTTAAAGTAAGTTTAAAGTTTTTATAACAATTAATTATTAACCAAACAGTGTTATGGTCATTAGGCTGGACTATTATATGTACAGTATTTCAAATGACTAACTTAACTGGATGAATGGTGTTTCAAGTTGACCTTTGTATCCCTAGCAGAATGAACCCCCAGTGTGGCTTTAAGTTAACTTTAAGCTAAAACAGGTAAACTCTACTTTATCTACAAACTATGTGGTAGGCCCTGATAATATAAGTATTGGATATTAACCCTTATAATCCCTGACAGAATGAGCCCCCACCATGGCCTTAGTTTTTAAGACATCAATCTTAATAAGTCTCGTTAGCCAGTAGCCAAACTTTTTTTTTAGTTTATTAGATCCAAATTTCTAGTAAATTAGTAGCAGGAATGGCTAATTAGTAGTAAATTAAATAATAGGCCCTAAATTAAAATACATTAATTATTTAATAGCTTTTTTAAAAAATAATTTATATATGTATGATCATCGGTAGAAGCCTAGGGGCCTAGATCTTGATCTAGATATGCTAATTCTAATTAGTTAGGCCCTGTACAGTAGTAGAAATTAGTCTTACTTGGTGAAACTTAGTAGAAAGTTAACAGTTAATAAAGCCAACTAGCCTAGATAATAAAGATATATTACTAATAATAGAATAGATAGATCTAATGATCTACCTTATTTTAGATTCTAGCATGGGTTGATTGATTATGATTAGTAATTTAATTAATAATTACCATGGGCTTACTATTAATTAGTATGATCAGTGTTTCTTCCAGACTTTTTTCTCGAGGGGACGGACGGGCGACTGGTAAAAGTATAAAAAGTATGTGTATAGGCCCATGTTTTCTATAATTCTCAAGGGGGAGGGGGGGGGATGCCTGGAAGAAAGTTAGAAACTCCGAACTGAGTAGTATGGTATAAAAATTATGAGTTATTAACTTATGAATTAATTATTTAGGGCACTATGGCTATAGTATATATAGGCAGGGGCGTAGCGAGGGGGGGCGGGGGGTGCGGACCGCACCGGGTGACACCATTTAGGGGGGTGACACCAAGGCAAAAAATGGCAAAATATAGAGAGAAAAACTTGAGGGGGGGGGGGGTGCAAATCGAAAGTTTGAGGGGGGGTGTAAATCGAAAACTTGAGGGTGGGGGTGCAAATCGAAAGTTTGAGGGGGGATGGGTGCAAATCGAAAACTTGAAAGTTTGTCCCCGGTAAGGGTCGCAACGCCTCTGGGGGGGTGACACCATTAAGTGCCGCACCGGGTAACACCCGACCTCGCTACGCCACTATATATAGGCCTACTAATTATTTATTTATTATTATTTATTATTATTATAATATTATCATAATATTATGAGATGAGTTTTGAGTTTATATTTAACTCAATGCAACAAGCCCGCTGGTTGGTTGAGGCCACGACGGGGGGGGGGGGGGGGACGTTCTGACCGGGATTCACAGGGACAACTCGAAATATCATCCAATACTATTAATAGTTATAATATAATTATAAAGTATAGGCCTAAAGTTATTTTTTTTAAATAATAAACTAAAACAGTGAACAGTGGTAAACTGGTGTAAAGTCATGTTAGTGAGAGAGAGAGTTAGAGTGAGAGAGAGTTGAGTGAGACTAGCACAGAAAGAATAAGAAAGAAGAGAACTAGGCCTACTAATTAATTATTAATAGACCGATTCCTAATTCATTTCAATTAGTAGATAGGCCCAATTAATTAGGCCTAGTCTAGATCTAGATCTAGATATAATTTTATCGTTACCATTTATTTAGATCTAGTCTAGATTTGCCGAAACTAGCACTGCTTTTTTTCTCTCATTCACGTGACTTCAAAAATCAGTTTCTTAGGATAGTAAATATTGCAGCATTCTTCTTTTTTGAAAAGCAATTAATTTAGGTCAAAGGTTTTTTTTTTTACTCAATGGCTGAGAGCGGGTGACGGGGAAGAAAGGGGGAAATATTATTAAATTATTATAAATTAATATCTTACTTTTACTAATGCTGAAATATAAATCTATATATTTATTAGTATTAGCTATTATATTGAAAAAAATACAGAGCCAGTATGCATTTAGAGTTTCTTTCAGGCATCTCCCCCCCCCCCCCTGGGGGGGGGGGAGGTGTGGAGCACTATAGACCCTTCAGACGAAATATAAACAATAATTTACCTATAAAATAAAATATGGATCTAGGTCTACTTAAACTAATGGCCCCATGAATTTTTTTTTAATTTAAGTGCGCTCCCCGGAAGTTTCAAGTGCCCCCACCACCCCTTCCACGGGATAAAAATATTTGAAACAAACTTTGTATGAATGTGTGGTATGCGGTGTAGGAAGATCTGTCCAGTAAAAAATAAAATACTTAAAAAAACTTTTTAAAAAAATTACGTTTTTCTTGTGGACTAAAAAGTAGAAAATACATTTTTCTTTTGTGCTTCCTCGAGCTGTGCAGGTTCTTGTGATGACTGACAAAAAACGTGGGTACGTTCACCATCAAATTTCCCGACCCATCTGCCCGACCCACGTCAAACCATATTGTGAGGCGTGTTTGTAAAAAGCACCACGAAAATACGGTATTAATAGCGCGTTCAACAAACAAGCCTGTTATACAATTTATAGCAGTCACATTTTAATAAAAAATCAAATATTTTAATTAAATGTCAGTCAAAATTTTCTCCACAGCATTACAGAAGCAAGTAAGAAGAAAGAGGCGTGTTTACACTACTTACAGTTATCTTTCTCGTTTCTTTATGTAAAACCGCATTTTTAAGTGTTTTACTCTTTATTTAGAGAAAGGAAATTCTTAGAATGAGTGAAGTAAGTAAATAAAGTTCTCTTTTCAATGACGATCAATGGGACAAGTGAAGTAGAGTTCCCTTATTTCTGTGACCTTGGCATATAAAGGGATAATGTGGTCAGCACTATACTCAGCCGCCTTTACTTTCTCTAACGGGAGTTAGGTACCCATTAGAGCTGGGTGGACTCAGGACGTATTCTTAGAATAATTCTTTCTAAATTCTATCCATTTCTTCAGGCGCTTCCTGATATCTTTATTTTGTAAAAAAAAAGTTACAAAAAATAATTAAACAAATGGTGACAACTACCTACATCTCCTCTACAGCATAAACAAGCGCAGTAATCTAATAGGAGCGACAACCCAGTGCCAACTTGCACTATCGTCGGATTTAGTGTCATAGCCTAAAACCTGAACCATATCTTCCTCAGCGTACCAAGCCATGCCGTAAAATTAGATTTTCCACATTGGATCTAGTACAGTTATAAAATTTAACTCATAGCCAACGCGAATGTCTTTCGAGACGTTCCAGTTATTAGAGAACGAGTGACCAAGGGAAGCAACATAAACCAAGGGACATAACCGTTAAATATAATTAACTATTTTAATTACACTCAGACTCTACACGCTTTTAATAACTGCCACGATGACCATAGTTTCAGGTCACCCATTGTCCACTTGCTAGTATTCTTCATACCGTCACTAACTCATCAAAATATTCAGCTCATCGCGTGTAATAGAAAATTGAATAAATTATTCCTTCGTTGAGAGCTGTGTCAATCGTTTGCACTGGACCGAGCTACAAAAATGTATGGATGAATTAGACACAAGAAATAAAAATAAAACATGCTTTAAGCAAGACTGTATTGGATTGTATTTGCCGAAGCTTAAACGTATTTAAAAAGGAACATAGGCCTACATTATACTTGGGTAATATTTTATATCATGTATTTAAAATTAGGAGTATTTTTTAAAATAAGTTCTATTTTAATTAATTATTTATTTTTATAAGTCAAGCGTCTTGGGTGTAAAGATGTATTTTAATAAAAATCAACTTTTTTTTTAATAAATGTATTTTAGTTAAAAATCTGACTTCAATAATGGTGTATTTTAGGTAAATATGAATTTTAGTAAAGTTGAATCATTTGTATTTGTAAAGATAATTTGTAGAAAAGGATTGTAAGTTAAGATGTATTTTAAAGAATGTGTATTTTTGGTGTAGATTTTAAGCAGCGTATTTTAACTAAAGATGTAATTAAATTAAACATATGGTTAAACAAGTGTTTTATTGTTAAACCGTCTCTTTTCACTTGCTAGTTTATTCTCAGCTTGATAGATTATATTAGAAAAATAAAACAAACCTCTTGAGATTTCGTAACAACTGTAGCGAAGCTGGTAGAGTACACTTGTTTAAACTAAATGATGTGAAAATATTAAAACATTAAAAACAGGAGAAGATAACATTACAAGGGGACATAACTTGCCCTACCTTTTTATGGAATATTAGTGAACTCTACTTCCTTAGTGATAAGAACGCTGTATACGGGAATTATTGTGTGCTATCTTCATCGTTGTGGTTACAGTTTCAGACACTATGACGTGTTCATGAATACCATCTAGCATTAGATGTGATAATTATAAGCTGCAGTTGTTGTTATACCATATAATGTTAGTTGTGATACAAGTTGTAATTGTTGTAATGCCTTCTGTTAGTTGTGATATAATCTGTAGCTGTTTTGATACTATCTAATATTAGTTGTGTTAAATATAATCTTTAGTTATTGTGATACCACTTAATGTTGGTTGTGATAAATATAAGCTGTAGTTATTGTGGAATACTAAAAATTTTCCGGGGGGGGGGGGGGGGGGGCAGAATAAAATTTCAGGGGGCTGGGTCTATATAAATTCCATTTCGTTCGGGGGCGGCAGACTTTATGGGGGGGGGGGACATCCGAACGAGATGCCTGGAAGAAACTCTGGAGATAACTACCTAAGACCTATTGCATTACATCTTCTAGAAATTCAGTGAAACTAGCCCACGCGTCATGTAGGTAGCGATTGACCCAAACTACATGTAACACCTGCCCCATCATCTGTGTGAACTGTGTACCGGTGCCTTGTGTGACACCAGCTCTGCTGAGTGAGGCCGACATGGATAGTGGGAACGAATCCAACACCGCCTTTAAGAATGCAGGACTCGAGGCTCCAGATATCGCTGTCATCGTCATTTTCATCATCTTCTGTCTTCTCGTTGGAATATGGGTAAGTTGAGAAAAGCACGTCCTTCGTTACGTTAGCAGCAGCTGAATCGTATCATTCCCATTACCTGAGGCGTAGCGACCCATTCTAGCTCCTGAGTCGATCTGTCAATTTACGCCCTGTCACATTTGTGTGTATACAAATTATATATTATTATATAAAATCAGTCTGTAAATCAAGTAGCTGTCAATTTTCTTAACGTTGACAGTGTCTAATTCAGTAATTTTTCCCCCATTGTCACACGTAATTTAGAATATTGATGTGATGTGCAAATTACTTCCCATTTATTATTTTAATAGAATCAAGGGGAAAAACCTATTAATAAGTTTTCAAAATAACTAAAGTACATTGAAATTTAATAGCAACTTAAATTTCAAAAAATTATTGATTGCTTATTATTTCACTAATTTTTTATATTAAAATGTGTTGATAAGTTTTGTATATATTTTAATACTTTATACATTAAAAAATTATAATTTTCCTTATACAAACATTAGATTTACTATAACCATAATGTATTAAATAATTAAATTTTTAGTGAAACATTTACTCTGTAGGAATCACAAATTATATTTGAAATTTCACGAAGCTGAGTTAAAAATTTAATTGGTACAAAAAAAAAAAAAAAAAAAAAAAATTCCACAAAAAAAAAAGAAAAAGACACAAAAAAACCTAGAAGAACTGCAATAGATAAAGAATTTTGAAAGGGGAAGATATATGATTGGTGTCTAATTATTTTTTTTACATATAATCTACGCTGCTTATAATATTTATAACCCTTTGTCCTCCTTTTATCCCACATTTATTTATTACACTCATCCCACCAAACAAGACAATTGCCTTTTTATTATTATTTTGTGTGTGCATGTTTTTCTTCTATCCAAGGAACATTGAATCACCATTTAATTACACATTTACATTCGCAGGTTTTAAAATAAAATTGAAGTTAAGACTTTTTGTATTATGTATAGCTAAACCATCCCCTTTAAATGCAAGCACATGTCAGAAAGAAGTATTGCTATTGTAAATATGTACCAGTTTTCACAAGCCTATGATGAAAACTGTGATACTAAAGCGAACATGGCAAGGCAAACTGACGCTGTAAATTACATGTATGAGGCAATTAAAAATAAAAAAAAGAATGAAAAAAAAAGGAAAAACATAGTTATTAAATATTTTTTTGATAAATTATTATCTAGAACGTGTGAACACTTTTAATATTATAATTCGGTATAAAATGTGTTTATGTATAGAGTGTGTGTGTGTGTGTTGGGGGGGGGGAGGTGGAAGGTGTCGAGGGGTTTGTACCCTCCTGTACAGCCTCAATTGTTAGGCTGCATCATTCGGTCGTTAGCCTTAAAAAATAGCTTCTTCATTTGCCCGCCAGGGTCGGCGTGGTCGAGTCGGTAAAGCTCATGGTTGCTAAACCGAAAAGTCTCGAGTTCGAACCCTCGGGCAGAAGAGTTAGCTGGGGACAGCCACTCTTCTAGGAGAGACAACTCCAAAATTAAACAACTGCTGCCTTGTAGTTTGTTCTTGGTTGGACAAAGGCGATGGAAGCAAATCCAAAAAAGAAAAGCAGGCTGAAATCGGAGTCAATGGCCTCAATGGCGCATAACCAGTTGACACGTAACGCTTAATTGTGTTGGAGGCGTGGTCGAGTCGGCAAAAAGCTCATGGTTGATAAATTCGAACAAAGTCTCGAATTCAAACCCACTGGCAGATAAATCTCGATTCCCTTCAACACTAATAATTAAGAACGAAGAAGAAGTAGAAGAAGATTTGCCCGCCAATTTGCGCATTGGCCATTATCACATCACAGTGTCCGGCCAATGTTAGATATATATATATTTTTTTATTATAGACACTGGCCGGCTAGCCCGCGGGCTGGTAAGGATGATCTATCAAAATCTGAATTTTGTTGCCTAAGCAAGTCGTTCGTACTTTAAAGCATCCTCTATTTCTTTTTCACTGTTCTCACGGTCTCCCTCAGTCACTTAGTTATCGACAACCTCTGTAAGCAGGTTTGACGTCCAACTTCATCATCATCATCATCATCATCATCATCATCATCATCATCATCATCATCATCATCATCATCATCATCATCATCATCATCATCATCATCATCATCATCATCATCATCATAATCATCATCGTCATCGTCATCATCATCATCATCATCATCATCATCATTGCCATCATCATCATCATCATCATCATCATCATCGTCATCGTCATCATCATCATCATCATCATCATCATCATCATCATTGCCATCATCATCATCATCATCATCATCATCATCATCATCATCATCATCATCATCATCATCATCATCATCATCATCATCATCATTATCATCATCACCATTACCATCATCATAATCATCATCTTCATCGTCATCTTTAGCAGCAGAACCTCTGTATTCTCAATCTGAAAACATACTTAACCAATTCTTCGTCTCTTGTCCATTGCACATAAACTAACCATCTCAAACTTTCTTGCAAAAAACCTAAATTACAAAATAATATGTTTATCTTTAATTTGTCGTTCAATATTTTAATTTCTCTTATTTTAGGCGACGTGGCGCACTCAAAGAGGGAGTGTAAGTGGCTACTTTTTGGCCGGTCGGGACATCCTGTGGTTTGCTGTAAGTTTTTTTTGGTAGGGACATCCTGTGGTTTGATGTAAGTTTTTTTTATGGGGACATCCTGTAGTTTGCTGTAAGTTTTTTTGTGGGGACGGACATCCTGTGGTTTGCTGTAAGTTTTTTTTGTGGGGACATCCTGTGGTTTGCTGTAAGTTTTTTTTTGTGGGGACATCCTGTGGTTTGCTGTAAGGTTTTTTTGTGGGGACATCCTGTGGTTTGCTGTAAGTTTTTTTTGTGGGGACATCCTGTGGTTTGCTGTAAGTTTTTTTTTTATGGGAACATCCTGTGGTTTGCTGTAAGTTTTTTTTTTTGTAGGGACATCCTGTGGTTTGGTGTTTTTTTTTTGGTAGGGACATCCTGTGGTTCGTTGTAAGTTTTTTTTTGTGGGGACATCCTGTGGTTTGTTGTAAGTTATTTTTGGTAGGGACATCCTGTGGTTTGCTGTAAGTTGTTTTTATGGGGACATCCTGTGGTTTGCTGTAAGTTTTTTTTTGTGGGGACATCCTGTGGTTTGCTGTAAGTTTTTTTTTTGTGGGGACATCCTGTGGTTTGCTGTAAGTTTTTTTTTGTGGGGACATCCTGTGGTTTGCTGTAAGTTTTTTTTGTGGGGACATCCTGTGGTTTGCTGTAAGTTTTTTTTTGTGGGGACATCCTGTGGTTTGCTGTAAGTTTTTTTTGTGGGGACATCCTGTGGTTTGCTGTAAGTTTTTTTTTTTTTTGTGGGGACATCCTGTGGTTTGCTGTAAGTTTTTTTTTGTAGGGACATCCTGTGGTTTGCTGTAAGTTTTTTTTTGGTAGGGAAATTCCTGTGGTTTGTTGTAAGTTTTTTTTTATGGGAACATCCTGTGGTTTGCTGTAAGTTTTTTTTTATGGGAACATCCTGTGGTTTGCTGTAAGTTTTTTTTTGTAGGGACATCCTGTGGTTTGGTGTTTTTTTTTTTGGTAGGGACATCCTGTGGTTTGTTGTTTTTTTTTGTGGGGACATCCTGTGGTTTGCTGTAAGTTATTTTTTTGTGGGGACATCCTGTGGTTTGCTGTAAGTTGTTTTAGGTAGGGACGTCCTGTGGTTTGTTGTACGTTTTTTTTTGTAGGGACATCCTGTGGTTTGCTGTAAGTTTTTTATGGGGACATCCTGTGGTTTGCTGTAAGTTTTTTATGGGGACATCCTGTTGTTTGCTGTAAGTTTTTTTTCCCACATCCCGTGGTTTTGTGCAAGATTTTTTAAATTCTGGACATCCTTTTGTTTGGTGTAAGTTTTTTGGTGCGGTCATCGTGTGCTTTGCTGTAAGATTTTTAAAATTCGGGACAACCTGTGGTTTAAGTTTTTTTTTTGTGTGGGGAAATCCTATGGTATGCTGTAAGTTTTTTTTTTGGTAGGGACATTCTGTGGTTTGCTGTAAGTTTTCTTTGTTGGGACATCCGGTGGTTTTCTCTTATAAAGTTTCATACAATGTAATTTTTTTTTCAGGTGGGTGCCTCTTTGTTCTCCAGTAATATCGGCAGTGGCAGCTTTGTGGGCCTAGCTGGCACAGGAGCAGCCAACGGTATAGCTGTAGCCAGCTATGAGCTCAACGTAAGAAATGGGAAGCATGTGTGTGTTTACTATACTGACCTAAACTTCTGATTGTACACTATAATTGTGTCCACACACACACACACACACACACACACACACACACACACACACACACAACACAACACACACACGCACGAACGCACGTTCGCACAAACTATGAAACACAAACACACACACGCATACACATATGCACAATTTTCATAATTCTGTCGCAGACTTGCTCGCACACAAATATTTACATAACTGTTCACATGAGTTGTATACTTGCATTTAACTATGCTCTCAGGGACTGTTCTGTCTTCTGCTGTTGGGATGGCTATTTGTTCCCGTCTATATAGCCAGTGGGGTAAGTAGAACCTTCATATATTTTAAATTATTATAAGTTTTTATTTAGTTTACAAGTTATTTTGTGTGTGTATGTGTGTGTGTCTGTATGTGTGTGTGTGTGTGTGTGTGTGTTTGTGGCAAATCTTGTAACTCAATTTTGACCAATTATAATTGAGTAATTTCTAGATAGTTTCGGCTCCGATGACAATGCACGAATATTTATATCTTTAGTCTTGTGAGGTTTCGACTTCATTTACGATGCATAACTAAAAATCGAAAATAAAACTAATTTAAAAATCTTTCTAATAATAAGCTTTAAATTTACTGATAAAAAGAAACTTGATTATTAAATAAAAGCATGGGTCGCTCATGAGATCTCTTACTAATTTTAGCGACTAATTCTTTTATTAATCAAAGCATATATATATATATATATATATATATATATATATATATATATATATATATATATATATATATATATATGTGTGTGTGTGTTTGTGTGTATGTGTGTGTGTGTTTTTGTGTGATGGGTAGGGTGATGGTAATGTAGGGGGTTTCGCCAATATTTGTGGGTATTAATGGCAGACTAAAAAGCATCGAAATTACTGCTCTAAAGTGCCTACAAATCACTGAGACGTATTGCTTCGTTTCCTGCTCAAGTATGAATTTTAGTTAAGTTTTATGGTTTAATTTCACATGTTGGGTGTAGCTATTTACTATTTTAATTTTTTTTTTACTTTGTGAATTCAATAACATATTGTCTATACTTTAATAATTAGAATACGCACTTACCTACTAGAATGTGTTTATGCCATAGGTGTATACCATGCCTGAGTACTTGCTGAGGAGGTTCGGAGGTCAGAGATTACAACTGTATATGGCGGTGCTGTCTCTGATTTTATACGTCTTCACGAAAATCTCAGTGAGTTCTGTGACTGTTTCTTTCAGTGATTTTAATCCGGGGTTGAGGAGTGTGTGTGGGAAAGGGGTAGGAGGTGATACAAAGGGAATGGAAGGCATTTTATTTTTAAAAATTCCGAAGGGATTTTGTACTTTAATCCGTACAAATACAAAACACATTCGATTTTTGTCGTTTAGTGTCAGGAACGATAACTCTAAAAGATCCATTACAAAAATTGCAAAATTTAAAATGGAAAAAAAATAAATTCATTCAGCTAATTTATGGTCAATTACCGACTAAAACAATTGGTATTAATTGTTTTCTTCCCTCTCCTATCCTCCCCCACCCCCAGGCGGACATCTACGCTGGGGCTATTTTTATCCAGCAAGCTGTGCAGTGGGACATGTATTCGTCGATTGTTATTCTGCTGGTGGTTACTGCTGTCTACACAGTCTCAGGTAAGAGTACACTCCCTGTTAGCTGTAGTTACCTCCCCTGTTGGTTGTAGTTACCTCGCCTGTTGGATTTAGTCACCTCCCCTGTTGGATGTAGTTACCTCGCCTGTTGGCTGTAGTTACCTCCCCTGTTGGATGTAGTTACCTCGCCTGTTCATTTTCGTTACCTTGGTTACTGCTGTCTACAAAGTATCAGGCAGGAATTACATCCCCTTTTGGTTGTAGTTACCTCGCTAGTGTTACTTACCTATCCTATTAGCTGTAGTTAACTCCCCTGATGGGTATAGTTATCTCGCCTGTTTTTGTTACCTCCCCAATTAGTTAAAATTGTCTCAATGCAATGAGTTCAAAACATACTTTTTTTTATCAATATGTGTGTATGTTTGTATGTCTCCTTATATCAACACTGCCCATGTTTCATATACCACAGGTGGACTACGAGCCGTGATCTACACCGATACATTACAGACCGTCATCATGGTTATCGGATCTCTAGTCTTGATGGGAATCAGTCAGTTGATTTTGTTTCATTTTTTACTTTTATCTAAATGTGTTTATTAATTAATTTATTTTATTTTTACCTTTTTTCTGTACTAGATCCATTTCTATCCTTCAACAATTTGTATGAATTTTATAATGACTTACATGATTTACATTTATCCGACAGGTTTCCAGAAAGTAGGCGGACTTTTAAGTCTCTATGAGAAATACCCAAAGGCCATAGCTTCTACTAATTTCCTGGGTATCAAGGGACACAATGATACGACAAGGTAGGTAAAATATTTATTTTTAAATCAATTTGAAACTTAAGTTTTTACTAAATATATCCGTATAAGTTGTATTAAAAAAAAATATTCTTGGGTTACATGAAAATGATTCTGTTTTATTTTTGTTAATTACTTTGTTTGAAATCGTCTATTTAAAGAGAGGTAATTTATTTTTAAAATGTTTACTGGATAATTATTTTAGTTACTTCCCTTTGACCGTTGCTAAGTCAAATGAGCAGTTCATGTTCCCAAAGATAATTACAAACTGAATAAACTTTAAATCTTCCATTCTTCCAACCAAATGTTTGTGCCTAGTTCGTGTGGTGTCCCCACATCTGAAGCGTTCCATCTGTTGAGGAGAGCAGACGCTGAAGACCTGCCCTGGCCCGGGAATGTGTTTGGAATAACTATCCTCAGTAGCTGGTACTTCTGTAACGATCAGGTGGGTGTTAATCTTAATCCTCAGTCGCTGGTGTTAATCTTAATCCTCAGAAGCTGGTGTTAATCTTAATCCTCAGTAGCTGGTACTTCTGTAACGATCAGGTAGGAGCTAATCTTAATCCTCAGTAGCTGGTGTTAAATCTTAATCCTCAGTGGCTGGTGTTAATCTTAATCCTCAGTAGCTGATACTTTTGTGAAGAATCACTGTGTACATTTATAAAGAGTGTTTAATCACAAAAATATTTTTTTTTAAAAAGCTTGAGACTAATTTTTTAAAAAAAATTAAAATTTGTACATCATCAATTTAAAGACTCCTCACGTACAAAAATCATTCGTAAAAATAAATTTGGTGATACAGAAATTAAACTTACAAGTAAACTGTTCATGTATCCAATTCCTAATGATTGCATATGACTTATAAAATTGAACTGAGTTTAAATCACTATTCTTAAATGAACAATGTGATGAAATGGCAACTGCAACACTTGAGCTTCACTATTATATTGTCAAGTAAAATGTTGCTAGTATTTCTGCCTTCGGTGACATCCAAATGTGTGAAAAATCTTAACTAGCGCTTGAAAGTAAAATTAAGAACTGTGATTAACATTCTTTGTAACACAAAGATTTAATACAAGTGGTACGTGTAAACAAACATATCTATTTCATATTTACATGATATATATATATATATATATATATATATATATATATATATATATATATATATATATATATATATATATTTGAAGGTTTTTCTCGTATTCTGACTTTCAGGTGCTGGTTCAAAGAACTTTGGCAGCTAAGAACATGCATCATGTTAAGGGCGGATCTATACTGGCGGCCTACCTTAAGGTTCTGCCTCTGTTTACAACGGTGTTTCCTGGGATGATTAGTAGAGTCTTATTCCCCGGTAAAAAAACAACAACAAACAAACCTATGGGCTTGTACCAATCTTGGGATTAGTACATGTCACGGGGGGGGGGGATGATTAGATAAAGGACCTGTATATTTATTACCGGTTTCATAGTTTCAATTGTGGTGAATATATCATAAGTAGCCCAGAGAAGGCGTATATTCGCTAATTATGGTTGTAGAAATATTTAAAAATATATTCCCATTTCCCACAATTCTCCTTCCTTCCCCCATCCACACAAACACATCCTTAAACCAAGCATACATACCCGTTTTACTTCATTATGAAACATAAGTGGATTTAATATAAACCACACAATATACTCAGATAATGAAAAGAAAGTTCTGCAAAAAATTTATTTAGAAGCGTCTCAACGAGAATTCTTTACAATGATACTCTCATCTGTGACGATTGATTTTTAAAAATTATCTAAACATATCACATGAGTTGAAGAATCGATGAAATATATTGTACGGATAATTAAACAAGGGTTACATGAATTTGTGTAGAGGTTTGGTGGAAGAGAAGGGGAAACAACCTTAATTAACTAGTGTCTAGTCTACAGTAGTGTTGATAGGGGTGGCAGTCGGTTGGTGGATTATAGGACATTTTACTCAAAAAACAGTAACTATACTCATCTAAACTGGGATGGTGTGGCCTAGCGGTAGAGCGATAGATTACTAACCGGAAAGTATCGAGTTGAGTCTGAGTTCAAGTCAGACGAACGTCATGAGTCTACTCATACAATACAGAACTAAAGCCATACTAATTTAGGCTTAGTAGGTTTAATGAATTTTTCTAACTCATTCGTGTTTTTAAAAACAAGACCAGAGTGCATTATGAAAACCCACACCCCTCCCCAAACCAAATGTCATAGAGAGTTTACAACACACGCCCATCTACTAAATAAACGGTTCTAAAACTGTCATTTGGGGGTCTGAAATTTTTTTCTTGAAATTATGAAAGCTGCGGGTTACATTAAGTCATCTTGGGTTTCTTAACAAATGATGCTTCGATGTTTTACTTTAGTTAAACAAATCCTTACATTACCCGACAAGCAAGACATTACTGCGCGTCACTTGTCCCCGAGCTAGTATATTCTAACAGAACCACTGAACTCAAACACTTACCCAGAAGTAAAAAAAAAATAACCCAGCTCAGCTGACTTGATTTAACAAGTTACTAGCCATCACATGACTTCTATAAATAGATCTTGTTTTGTACAGATGAAGTCGCCTGCACTGACCCCGACGTGTGCGAAAAGGTGTGCAGCAACAGAGCAGGCTGCACCAACATCGCCTACCCCAAGCTGGTCATTGAGCTGCTGCCCACTGGTGCGTAACACATGTTGAATCTGTTCATGAGAACGGCAAGAACAGAAATACGTGTATTGGTCACGATTTTTCGGGTGAAAGAAATGAAATAGATTCAGCAACAAGGGAGATAATACATGCCTAGTTTTTTGGTATCTAAGTATATTTAGCGTACAAAAAGTGCTAGCGTTGTCGTGTGGTAGAGAGCTCGACTGCTAGCACGAAGGTCTCGAGTTCGGATCTCGGTCTGGACTCGTGACTGTAGGACATGCCAAGGCCGACCAGCTTTTTTGGGTACCTGATTTAACGTTAAGAAAAGTAACGCCGACCTGGCATAGTCAAGAAAGTTGACATTTACTTCATCTTCCCTTAAGTCTGAACGGAGGATTTTTTTACTTTTACGTGTTCTGCGTATTATGTTCAATAACAGCAATTTTCAGTGTGATAATGTGTCACAGAAAATATCTTCGAAAATCGCAATTAACGAAAGGTTAAGAAATATTTAGTTTGTGCTGTTATTTGTACGACCACGAAGAGTAAGTTATCTAATGGGACGCAGCATTCAAGCAGCCAAAATGAACCGTGATGCCAACACACTGTCTTTCAAATGAACTTGTTGTAAAATAAAAATTGGACAAGTTTAAAATTAAAATCCAAATAATTTCCCATTCTGTAAAAAACGACCACAATTTAAAAAAAAAGTGCAATGGTATTCTTAAAACATAAATCGGGAAACAATTCGTTTTCCTAAAAATGTGTTCCCTGTGGCTGCAGGTCTGAAAGGGTTAATGTTGGCCTCTATGATCGCCGCTCTGATGTCATCACTGACCTCCAACTTCAACAGCGCCGCCACCATCTTCACCATCGACATCTGGAAACGGTTCCGTGCTAAAGCTAGCGAGGCTGAGATGCTGGTTATTGGCAGGTGGGTTTCTTGGGCCTTTTTTTCTAGTGTATATATATATATATATATATATATATATATATATATATATATATATATATATATATATACACACATATATATATATACATATATAAGTATATACATACATATATATATATATATATATATATATATATATATATATATATATATATATATATATATATATATTTATATATATATATTTATATGTGTGTATATACTTGTAAATTATATATTGATAAAAATTGTAAAGGTATCTTAAAATATTGAATATTTTCTGTGTGAATGATGGACTGCTTATTGCTAGATTAACACACAACAAACCCAATTTACCATGTCTAGCTAGTTACGTCAAAGTGTAGGTCTACTCAGTAAGAAGAAGAGTCCAAAGACTACTCTCAAGGCAGAGTATTCAAGTTGGTACGATAGATGGTATAACGATGTCACTGTAGTATAGTGATTTTGTCAAAATAAAAAAAAATGTTTCAGTTAATGTAGATTTACTAATTACTCACACAATGTTTAGTCTATATGCTTTATCATCTTCTTTAATCCAAATGTATGGTGTAACTATAACCCTACCAAATCCCCGCCACGTTATTCTAGAATCTTCATCGTTATACTGATGGGGGTGAGTGTCCTGTGGATTCCAGTGTTACAAGCGTCCCAGGGAGGACAACTCTTCAACTATATCCAGACAGTCACCGGATACTTCGCTCCCCCTATATTAGCTCTCTTTCTTTTAGCAGTATTATGGGAGAGAACTAATGAACAGGTTCGCTTTTTTTTACATTATTTTTTTTATTTTTTTTAAATATTTTATAATTACTTCGAACGTCTATAGAAATACAATTAAAAACACAATCAGTTTTTTTTGTATAGAAATTATCAATTCGTTTATGTCATTTTAAGTGTCCCTAAATAACATAATAAAGTTAACCTTATAATAAAATGTTTCGAAAAAAGGTCATAATCAGAGTAAAACCAGTATATGGCGATTATTGAAAAATAGGTAGAATCTGGATCTGGCTCTTTTTTTCACCTATATTTAAATATATATTTAGACAGTAAAATGGAATAAATTTTATTTGGTCACCACACTACAAGATCTAGATACAGCAATTTTCTTTTAACCATGAACTTTACCGCAAACATCTCAAAGCTAACTCAGTTGTGGAAAGCTAATGCACCAGTAGCAACATATGTGGCCATTAGATCACCTTCCACATCTCCATGTTTGTGCAAGAACGTAAAGGCTGGAATTCTTAAAGGCACACCTTTTAGGACATTGCCACTTACTTATGATGAAACTCAAGCGCCTCATTACATTTTTGACAGGAAAGTTTGGCTGTCATGGAATACAAGTAATTTGCACAATGAAAGAAATAGGATAGCTGAAACAACTTTTGAGGATCTAATTATTAGAAAATTTATGTATGGTACATGGCATGGAGCTTTAGTATCTGAGGTCATTATTAAAAGACGGCACAATATGATAATCCTTGCATTTATTGCTTCAGTGGAACATGTTTTACAGAGACAGGTTTACTTTTTGCAAGGGTATACAGAAGAGCTGTTGTCACATTGGTTGAAATGTCCTATCAAAGTTGAATTACAGTGTGTTACTTCTAAAGAAGATGTAGTGTTTAAAAGAATTTGAATTTTTCTTTTTTTACTGCACAATAAAATGCGTATTTAAAAAAAAAAGTTAGAATCTATATTCCTACTATTAATTTTGAATTTATGCTTAACACTTGAGAATCTTAATTAAAAAAAATACCTTACTGGAATTTTTAAAAAAAATATGAAGCAACCAGACCAATTAATGATCGTCTTCATTAAATTCTTTATATTTTCAGGGCGCCTTCTGGGGTTTGATGGTGGGGTTGGTGGTGGGTGTAATCCGGATGGGGCTTGACTTTGGGTACGGCAGCCCGGGGTGTGGAGAGGCGGACCCCCGCCCCTCCATCATCGCCAAGATTCACTTCCTCCATTTTACCATCATCCTCTTTGTCATCTGTTTCCTCGCTACCATCATCATCTCCAAGATGACCACACCCATCGATGCTAAACATGTAAGTGCTAAGTAATGGTAGTAGCTAAGTAAAAAGTGTGTGTAAATACAACAGTAGCTAGTATTGGTTTTCTTTCTAGCGGGGAAATAACTTTGCCATTAGCTGCATTAGCTGTTTATAAATTTACTTTGGAATAAGAATTTTTTTTACAACTGAGTATCTGTGCACGACAAGTAAATGTGTTGTGACACGTGAGTGTTTTATGACACATGAACTGTGTTGTGTTATATTAGTGTGTTGTGACATATCAGTGTGGTGTGACATTTCAGTGTGTTGTGACATATCAGTGTGGTGTGACATTTCAGTGTGTTGTGACATATCAGTGTGGTGTGACATTTCAGTGTGTTGTGACATATCAGTGTGGTGTGACATTTCAGTGTGTTGTGACATATCAATGTTTAAACACAGTGCTTGGCCTAATGTTAACAAATGGTTAAATATATATTTGTATAAGGTCACTATACTTTTTTCTAACAAGATATTCAAAATTTATTTTTTAAAGCAAAAGTAGTATTCGTAATCTCTACCCACTCTTTAAACAAGCAAACACATTTAGTTTAATTACTTAACTATATTTAATAGCATCTGTTGATGGTTTTTTTTAAAGATGTTTCCGTGTCAAACTACTCCACTTGCAGCAATAGTATTTCTCTGTGTACTTTATTCCATCCCAATGTTCTAGACTATTCGTCTAACCTGGTGGACACGGCACAGTCAGAAGTTTCGAGAAGATTTCCCGGAGGAAAAGATTAGGCAGGAAAAAGTTGAGCAAAGTTTGAAGGAGAAATTGGCTAAACCAAGGGATGGTGAGTGCTGAGATAAAATGTTGATGGTGAGGTAAGGGTGAGATGAATGTTAGGTAATAATGAGATGATGGGGAGATGGTGGTGATGCAACATGTGAGATGAGAAGATGCTGAGAAGATGGTGAGATAATAATGATGTAATGGTGAGATCATGATAAGATGAAGATGAGGTGATAGTGAGATGATGTTGAGATGATGTTGAGATTAAGGTGAGATAATGGTGAGATAATAGTGAGATAAAGTGAGATAAAGGTGAGAAAATTATGAGAAGATGATGAGATTATGAGATTATGTTGAGATTATGATGAGATTCGTGTTCAATTCCAAAGCTCGCTCATATATAACCCTTGAAATACCTTAGCTCCGGGTTATACAGGGGGATGTCAAAACATCCATGTTAAAATCACATCAACTCTACTCCAATCTGTCTTGACTAGTTTTTTTATTATACTTAAAAAAAAATTATGTCATGGTAAACTGCACTGTTTCAGAACCAACCACGCCCGTTCCCAAATGGCGTAAATTCCTATACTTACTGTGCGGGTACGAACCGCCGGTGCACGTGGAGATGACGGAAGAGGAAGTGCAGGAGCAGAAGAAGGTTCTCACGTCTATAGAGGAGAAGGGCTTCTGGAAACATTTCGTCAACGTCAATGCCATCCTTCTCATGGCATTTGGCTTGTTTCTCTGGGGATTTTTCGCTTAACTTGCGCTTTTGTTTTTAGATGTCTAAGTATAAACATTGATGCGCGATAAAAAACGACTAGAAATAACACTTTTTTTTCGCAATTTTCGACAGTGCATAAGGCAATTATGAGTTATTTATATCTTTGATGTACACATACATTCCTATCACCAAACTCATGCAAAAATAGATGTATTATGTTGTTAGTTGTATTGTTAAATCAGGTTTATTGTTGGGAGTCTATATAAGGTTAGCGTTAACGTTAGCAACTTACACATTACTTCCTAGTTTCCTACCAATAACCTAACACCCGTATTTTTGGATTATTATCGTGAAAACATTATCGAACATAAACATTCATTGTTAAAGTTATAGAAAGTATGGGCCGCATGTATGTCGTTTACTAGTGAAGGTTGTTGCGTAGGCAGAATATTGTTGGAAAGGGGTAGGTTAAAAAGGAGTGTTTTTGAAAACGTTTTTATGCCTTTTAAAATAATTATCAACTGAAACCACTAAAATCGATGAGGAAATGCAAAAATTATAACTTATCGTGAGTGAGACGGCACTCATGTTGAGCAAAAAAAACCACTATGTCAGTCAATGTAATTTTTTATAATAATGTTTTTATCGTTTCCTGCAAATAAAAGAGAAGTTTTAAGTATAATTTATTCATTGATACGTTTCATCGTACTGAACGAAATGTCGATTCATTTTTCTTTATTTGAATGTGTGAATATTCTTAAATTATGAAATAAAAGAGTGCGCTTAGTGATACTTATAGATGCTTTTAAAAGAATACATGAATATATTCACCATTAGTGATGTGTTGTCTATTACTTTCATTAAATTAGATGTTAATTTGATAGCTTAATAGCTTAGAGATGCATAATATGACAACCTAAATGGAGACCTTAGAGTAGAAAATACAATATTTCCAAAAAATTTTCAAACGTTGATTGGCGATTAACTTATACGTTATGTTAATTTCTTCTAGGCATTTCTTCGGGGGCCGAAAAAAGTCTACCGCTTCCCCCCCCCCCCCCCCCCTGAACGACATGGAATTTATATAGAAAATATATACTTTTAACAGTGGCCGCCCCCCTCCCCCTTCCCCGGAAATTTTATTCTCCACCCCCCCCCCACCCCCCCCCGGAGGAAAAAATCTGGAAGAAACACTGATTTCTATAAAACTAAGGACACGACATTAGCTTTATCATTCAGTTATTTTAACATGAAAAAGTCATTAAAATATCTGACTTTTGCTTTCAAATAAACAAGCAAGCCTGTTGAGGCTAAAGCTACCCCATAGAAGTAAACATCGGATCATGTACTGTGGTCACACAAGGATTTGTTTGTGGGGTGACATTGTCGACATGTTGCAACCACGTGCTAACACGCCAAAGGACACGCCCACTCCAACGTTCAAGAAAACGTCCCCCCTCCCCCCTCGGGCAGTGCCGGGTTTTGTTCCCGTTCCCCCTAAACTCCTCCTAAACCTGAAACTCGCCTTTCTCAAGATCTCAGATCAGACTTCACCATTTTTTCCCCCTCCGTTCGCCCTTTCCCCTCTGGTAACCGCACGAAACGACCCGCCAGAGGGCGCTGTCAACAGCGCATGCGCGGTGGACTTCTTCCCCCAGCCCAGGTGAATGTCATTCTCAAGAAGGCGAACCGGGAATCTCCGCAAACTCAAGTTGGCTTCAAGTGCTTCAATGTGAACCCCCGAAAACGCTCAGAAGAGGAAATCTCCTTGAGAATTCACCTAACCTTCGCCGAACGAGAAACCTTATAGGATGGTCTATTAAAAAAAATATAAATAAAAAACTAGGCTGTATGTTTAAATGAAAAGGGCTTTGATGTACTAAAAAAAGCCAGAGTTAAAACAGGAATTGAAAGTACGAAAAACAAAATGCAATAACGTTCCTACTTGAGCATCATTGCCTTTGAAATCGTTTTTTTATATATCCTATTAGATTATAGCTGATGTTAAAATTTAAAGGCTAAGGAAGATGCTTAAAAACATTATGTATAGAGCTTTACATATAAATATATAACTATATATATATATATGTATATATATATATATATATATATATATATATATATATATATATATATATATATATATATATATATATATATATATATATATATATATTTATTTATTTGTGTGTGTAAGCGTGTGCTTGCGTGTAGTTATATATATATATATATATATATATATATATATATATATATATATATATATATATATATATTTACATAGCTTCCCTACAACCATGCTGTTCTAAATCATTTTTTTAAATTTTAAAATTATTTATACACCCTTGTGTTATAAATCCACCAATGTCTTATGATAAAACATTTCCTTGTCGTATCTCTCCGTTATTACACAAAACGTTAAATGTATCAAGCTTTTAATATAGAAATTATTAGAAAAACGAAACTATAAAGCCTTGTTGCGAACATTTTTTAAAAGCGGAGTTTAAAAAGATTCTGTTTCTAGGGAAACGATATATTAAGGTTAAAAATATGTTTATACTTTTGTTACATATAATGTACCACAATGGAGAGACATAGGTCCAGTCCTCCACAGAACCAAACCATCTAACTCGCGTTATGGCAAAGTTTAAAGTCGACATGAAATACCAGAGGCCGACTCAACCAACCTCTATGGGGTGAGTAAATAAACGTTCAGGATTCGCTGAGAGGCTCGAACTTTGGATGGAAGAAATATATGTGCGTGAGTACATACAACACAGAATGTGTAAAGTATGTGGCGGGTTTTATAAAAAGGAAGTTATGGCATGAATTAAATAAAAAAGACACGGTGTATAAAAAAAGATTTGTGAAAATCTCGATTTCGATTTTTTTTGCACGATTACAATACTTCCTCTATACTTCGTGTATGAGAAAGTAAAAAATTATACGATTTTTTTTAAACAGGTAAACGTACGTTGTTACACACTCTCATAGGAGAGTGAAGCTTAGAGGTGTGTGCTCAACAATTACTTACATCTACAGGTGAGATAGAGTCAATGTCGTTGGGTGCATTCAATATGTGGTGCATTTTGTATGTGGGTGCATTCAATAACGGTACCGAGAAAGTACAGTGTGAGATGTATCAGATGCAGTGCTGGGCTTATATTCACGTCAGTGAACGAACATGAAGAAGAACTTGTTTGACAAACTGAAAATATCTCTACCAACATCCACTAGATGGAAGTAATATCTTCAGCTCTTAAAGTTAACCCGTCTAACCTCCAACCCGTCCCATAGATTCACCCCACTACTTATATTAACTGCCAACCCTTCCCCTGTCTCATTCATATAATTCCACCCCACCCCCATTCCCCCCACTCCCCGCCCACAAGTCAATCACCATATCCTGTGTTTTAACCCCAAAATCTAGAAATTATGCGCGAGGCTTTAACATCACGTTCCTTTGAAATGACTTTAAAAAAAAAATCAAACTCATGCATTACCTCAGACCCACTTTAACCTGGAGTGCACACCATTTCTCTCCCCCCCCCCCAAACCCGTTGCCAGCTCTTTGTAACTAGCAAACCACTTGAACACAGAAAATTGGATTTTAAGAACTTAATTAAGACATATATTGTTCTTGCGTCGCATGTAGTTTTTAAAACTCTTTCTTTTATATTCGTTCCGTTAAAACCTCGTCTTAGCCGCCACATTGGATGCCATATGTGAAATATGTTGCTAACAATTCTACTACGTTACTATGGTTACCAGATGATTTTCATTTCTTTCGGTATAGAATTTTGTTTCGCTAAAACAAAACAGGGGGATAGGATATCGTTTTTTGTTTTTGTTAAAAAGCATAATCGGAAAAAGATGCGAAATATGAAAACAGCATTCGTGGAAAATACTGGAACAAAGTAATCTCGCTGTTTTACTTCGATTCCCCTTATTATTATTTTTTTTTTATTAGTATTATAGGACTAAAAATATTTTTTTCTGGCATTATACAGACAAAGTGATATCAAATCCTGGACGCATTATACTTAGTATATACACAAGAAATACTTGAATTTTACAATCAAATTTGAAAGTTTGTGAAAAGCCATTTGAAGTCCATTTACATGTCAAAACTAATCTTTCTTCTACTTCTTCGTTCTTGAAAAGCAGATCCCAAATGTTTTTTCAACCAAAATTGAAAGTTTTTCTTGCTTTTTATGGAGCAAGAACTAAGCAACTTCCGGTTTCAACAAACAATTAGTGATGAAGATTGTAATCTGGGATGATTAAGTGTTTTGTATGTCGGCACAGACCAAACATAAACAAAAGGGATTTCCTCCAACACAAGTATTAAATTTGTAGGTTATTGACTCCGATAAGAGTTTCTTCAAGCCCCCCCCCCCCCCCCCCCCCGAAAAAATTCTACCGCTCCCCCGAACGAAAAGAAATTTATATAATTAATATAGAAAATATATACTTTTAAAAGTGTCCGCCCCCTCCCCCCCCCCCCCCGAAGAAAGTCTGAGAAAAAAGTCTGGAAGAAACACAGCCTGCTTTTCTATTTGGATTTGCTTCCATAACCTTTGTCCAACCAAGAACAAACTACAAGGCAGCTTTTTATTTTTATTGTGGAGTTTTCCCAAAACTGCCCGGAAATTCGAACTCAGCACTTTTTTGTTTAAGGGGGCAGTATCACCAAGACTAAGGGAGGGAAACAAAACTTCGCACTAAAAGAACTATTCGACATACCCATGTCAAAATTTTACAGCAGTAGTAACGTTTTGTCTGCTATAATACAGTATATAAATTGTAGGGTATATGTATGGCAACACATTTTCAAACAATTTTTTTGTTAATATTTTATTACATTTTTAGTGTTTTTGTAAACAATTTTCGAAAACGATAAGTAAAGTACTTAAAATTTGGTATAAAACTTCTTTGCGTTAATGGTTATCGATAACACAACAATCATGTGCATTTTAATAAGGGATCTCCCCTAAACTTTCTCGAATATTCTTATATAAAATAACTAGGGATGGGAACTCGGGCTATAGACATGATTTTTAATCCATTTTAAATACTTAAAGTTTTAAAAATAGAATAAAATCTCGTAGACAAATTAATTGCACACCAAGTGAACGCCAAATCAAAAAGCGCATAATAGTGCGCAATATTATTAGTACTTTTAAAATTTGCATTAGTTTTTTGAGAAATCGGAAGTAGCGTAAATTACTACTTCCGGTCAACGGAAATTACTCAAAATTTAACAGAAGGTAGAGAATTAGATCTTTTACTTACATGTGAAATGTCATTTATCTATCTGAAATAGTACTCAAGTTATAGGCTTTTTAAAAATTCAAAGTAGAAAAAGTACCACTTCCGGTAATCGGAAATCGCTCAAAAGTTGACACGGATCTACG